ACTGATAAAGCTCTTCGAAAAAAAATTTTACGCAATCGGATCACTTAAATGATATTTACACAAAAATGGGCTTTTACGCTTTTCTCTAAGCTTTTATTTGATTTCATTCCAACATTTTAAATAGGTTACTTCTTCGACATTCTTCCTTGCCTCTCAAGCCTCATCTAACTCTGGTTGGTCCCAGACACATTCAGCTTCCCAAACTACGACTGCTACACCTCGCTCCATGCAACGCTCCCTTGCTGCCGACAACCTTGAAAGCTTGCTTGGTATGCCTTGCAGCCAACTATTTAGTACTCAGGTGGTACATGCTGCTGGCCTAGTATGCCGATCACCGGGTTTGGCATCCTCCAGCAAAAGACAGATAGTACCGCCTTTGCAGAAATCGCAGACTTTATTTGGCCCATGCTACTCAGTCGACCCAATATCGGAAGCCCAAGCACAGGCCTTGAGCTGTGAAATCATAGGTCTTCTGCACAGAACTATTTTCTCTGCCTTCTATCGTTCAGGATCAGGTGGCATGCTTGATGATCCTAACAGCGTGGTTAAATCCGACATCTATTTGGTAAATATTTTACCCATTCTACCATAAAATATACTATAACTGACAGTCCATGTGCTAGCCCCCTGTATTAGCTACAATCTTATTGAACTTGTAAATCAGCACTTGTTTCAGCTTTAATCCTTAATATTTTAATTAACCTTAGTCCCAATTAATTAATCATTTAACTCTTAAAACTTTTTTAGTTCTTTGAGTAGGCGTTCAGCTCGGTGTGATGACATTGTAAGTGCTAATGAAAGCTTGAGAAATAACACATGGAGTAAAACATACACTACGACTGAAACTGTGTTAAATCGGTCAACCATAAATATAAGAAACCGATCTTCGAGCCTATGAAGAAGATCCAGATTGGAGGCCTGAGTCTGATAAACAAGTCAAGATGTAGGGGCTACAAAGTGAACACCAGCTGTGATAATGCCACTGTAAACTCGCCAAAAAAGTGCATATTCTTGAGGATGTGGAATATAAGTCAAAAGTTGTAATGGGGCGGGAGTGAAATAAGAGGGTATGGAGTAGATAGTTTCGACAGGATGTTCGTCAACATATTGACTTCATTTGTCTCTGACGGGTTGTAGCTTGGCGCTGAGACTGGCATGTCTCACTAACGATGTCGAAGAAACGTCTATGAATGTACCAAGTCCACGGTCCAACGCTGGGAATTGTAATAACTAGTATGGCAGATGACTTCAGGGAAGGTGCGTACAACCAGGTAGCCCTAACAGAACGACCAAGTTTCGAAAATCAGGCCAGACCACTTCAATTATAATATATTGCAGGAATGATAATCAAGATGATGTGGCCTTTTCTTTGGTCGCAGTCTCCTTTAGACGTATAGTCTTGGTTTGACCTCTTGTTCACAACTCGATCGGAGACCTTGTGGATTTTATCTATTGTTGCGTTTTCTGTCATCATATTCAGGATGATTTTCAGTATCGGTACATTTCCAGACGTTTCGCAGGCATTTTAGTCGAAATCGTTAGTGAGAGGCGAAAGGTCTGGGAATGTACCAAATCAACGGTCCGATACTGATAATCATCCTGAATACAATGACATGACAAAACTAAATATATTCCACAAGGTCTCCCTGTCGCTCCGACCAAGTTGCGAAAACAAGGTCAGGTCAATTCATTTAAGATACTTAGTAATTGGGATTCGATTAATTTTCTGAGATAGCATTGTTAGAGAGACTTTCATTTTCGTATGAAAAGCATGCATAAGAGAATTGTAGGTTGATTTCACCAGAGCCAACGGCTGATTCCCGTTGTATTGCTGACGTTTGGCTTCAATACGATCTTCAGACTAATGCATTCCGCTAGACATCCTCCCTAGTATATTGTAAAAGTCGCACGTTAATGAGCATCAAGTCGAGAATGCTAACCGGCTCTATCATACCTCATATCTGTACTCATAACTAAACATGGAAAATAAATAGATATATATAAATATAGAATAGTTAATTATCTTTCATATATGGTTATGCTACTCTTGCTCAAGTGAGTGTCAACGCCTATAGGCAATTCCGATCCTAAATTGGAGTGATCAAATAGCCTAATGTCGGGCTTTGGTCATCAAGGCTTATTGACGTAGGTTAAACCCCTACCGAGGCTAAAGGAAAGTGTTATCAGTTTACACGAGCTAATTAGGACCAAAACCAGGTTTCGGCAATAATTCTTTATAGGTACTGATTGACTTGAATTTCCTTAAGTTATAGGATATGGATGACTGCTTAGGAGAGGCCACGCATAGAAAGAAACTTAGGAATCTATGAATTGGGATTGGAATTAGACCGAGAAATGTTGCTCCTAAGGTAAGCCGTAATTAACATGTTTTTAACTTTTTCGGGAGAGATAATATAATTAATTTATCTAGTATAACTGGAGTATGATGTGGGACTTTAAGTGGATCTTCCAACGGAAGTTAAATACTCTCTGGACATAGTTGTTAAATTAATTAGCTTATCTGATAGATTACCTTAAGTATTAAGTTGGGAATGATTCCACATTTTGACCATATAATCACGCCAAAATAATCGTGTATTCTCAGTAGTGTTTCTGGATATTTTACCCGCAATAATCTTATTGTAAGAAAGCCGACAAAGGTGGAGCACTAGTAGTCATGTAGAAATAAAGCTAGTTCATTTAAATGATACTGACACGTATAGGCCTTTACTAATTTACCCATCAGAAAGACTTAAGACATTGTATTCATGAATAATAGTTAAATTAGGAAGTGTAGGATGAATTTATTACTCCAGAGAGTTGTAAGAGCCCCCACGGCTAACAGTCTCTCTTAGGTTCACAACGAGGGTGCCCTTCTTAGATTAATTGTAAATAATTAAGGGAGCGTCATTCTTAAAGTGCATAAAAATACAGATGGCTGCTGATATTGCCTATATATTTTCGCCTGTATTTAGTTTAAAATTCTTGATATTTCGTATTTAAGTAGAGCTTCGAGGTTACCAGTAAATCAGTAAAATGAGATGTATTGACCCAAAGGTT